AAATCATGTGATTTATGGGGCGACATTATTGCTTACAAGATGTCGGCGCCTATTTTTAGAGATTATCTATTCGATCGTCGAATACCATGCCGTTTTTTAGGTAAGTGACTTGGGGATAGCACCTCCTTGGCATTTCGACCGTCTTTACCACCCCTAGAGAATTCGCGCCAGGATTGGGACCTTTAGATAGACTTGACTGCCTTTGCTAGGATTGGGAGTACTAACCACAATGCTACCTGCAAAGAAGCAGTTCAATCTGATGTGCTGTTATATATGAGAGACTCTTACTTTCCCTTAGCTGCATTCAATTTCATTCTCATCTATACCAGCACTCATCTCATTGTCGACATTAGCCTCAGAGTTCGAAACCGTATTATATTTCACAATTGTGCTCTCAACTCTCAGCTTAAATTGAAAATGTCTTTCAATGTCTACATGGTCGACTTCCTTGGTATCTCACGAGGTATCTTCGTTCAAACCGATGAACAAGGAAGCGACAGCGGTCATCTCTATCAAGTAATCGGCGACATGCAAAACGGCATGATCCATTCCCACAAAGAGATCAAACGTCCGAACAATGCCGGCAGATTCATCGGCACGGTATCGGTATCTCAATACTCGCAAGTTCGCGCCATCTGCGATTCCATCACTGCAGGACCACCGAAAATTGATCCCGCAAATTCTCTTCGCCATTATCAAGAATGGACCAATAGTGTGGTAGAACTACTTTTTGCTAGGGGAGTCTTGCAAAGACCCAACCCTCTTTCGATGTCTACACACTTACAGAATGCCTCGAGGAGAGTAGACCAATGCTGCTCGCCAATATACGATAACCGTAGCTTTGACTGGATAAGCGCGAGTCGATTACAGGCTCCTGGGATGGCAATGTGACTAGAAGATTGGGAAGTTTGGCTTGATTTGTCATTTGGCAAACGGAGTTTGGGTCCTGCGGGTCATAGGCAGAGGAAAATAACATGGGATATTTGGAGGCGTTGGAGGTGTCTTGGAGCTCAGTTGCAGCAACAGGCTTGCTGTCGCGATGTGATTTGTAGAACATTCGTTCGTTTACTGGATTTTCATCATTATAATACATTCTCTTATGAATCATTTGCATTCACTATGACCCTAAAAGTTTGCCGAACAATTTACCTGCTTGAATTTGCCTCCACATTTCGCTTCATAAAAATCGAATGATCTGTCTTGAATCCTAGGAGTTTCAGGTTGTACAACATTGACACCTTTCTTGTGCCGGGGAGATCATGTTTGAAGATTGTTGAACTTCTTGAAGCATCTCGCCATAATCGACGTTCTTCCAAGTCTTCCCATATCTAGATACCAAACTATAAGGAGCCAATACTCGTAGTTAGTTGCTTATTGCCGATTGTAACCCAGAGTTCAAGCACCTATAACTTATTTTTTGTCCACAACTCAAGGTCCTGGCCAACTGTCTCGGTCAATTTTGAGGTCATCGTTTCTTGTCCAATCTGATTGTAGAGTTTTGAACTATGTTGGTTTTCCCTTAGATCTCATGTCAAGAGCTTTCCCCGTGAATCTGTACTGGGCGGTCATTCATCAGGTCGGACCAGGAAAAGTTTTCCACGCCATCTGGTAACGAGGTCGATTCAACAGCCTATATGGCATAGTATCGCCCTTTATTGGTTTCTTTTTCTCCTAACAATAATAATCTTTGGGCGAGAATGACTCTAAGATTGAAAAAAAAACAAGAAAAACTCGACCTACATGTCGTTGTACGCGACATATTGGTTTTCGGCCAAAGATAATAAGATCCTTGCCACCAGGTGCCTACCAAAACACATTTTTTTCTTGGCCATCTAGCACACATTCTTACAGTTTTACTTCTCGTGGTCCTACAGACTCGTAACTTTCTTTGATTTACACTTGAGAAATACGGATCTTCTCTCGTCAAGGCTTAATTGATATCGATTCCCTTGTTGTAGTAAGATCTTTTTAATAATGCGTCGAACACATTACATTTTGTGGGGAAATGCATGCGAAATTCTCTCTAACGTCATTTTTCAGGCTCTCACCTTAGACATCACACCTAAAAAGGGGATAAAAAAAGCAGTCATGCATAAATGTAATCATTTTCAGTATTTCTCCCGCTCAACTGAGCCGCCAGAGATTATTCGACGTCATCATCGAAACCTGCCAGGCCGCGCTGTGCAGATCGTAAGTTTCTCACACTCCACTACATCTAACTTCTTCCAAACCTTAAGCTCACTTGGATGCAGCCTTCAGGGCGGCTTTACACTTCAAATTGTCGCATTGGATTCTATTTCCTCCTCCACTATGCTACTGTTGGTAGAAGATTACTAACTTCCGAACCTCACAGGGTCGTATCCGTAAAGGTGACCACTACCGTCGCTTCAAAGAAATCGTTGCCGAAGTAGAAAGAAAAAAGCCCAGGAAATGTAAAGAGAAGCATCTGTACTGGATAAGTCAAATTATCTCCAAATGCTGTAAAAACATGGGTCGCGACGGTAAACCCGATCCTATAATCGAATGGCCGAAAAGTTCCGCATTGCTCGAAGAATATTTGTTCCTCCGCAAAACATTTCCCGATGCAGCGGACTTCCCATACCGAAAAATGGGACCCGAACAGTCTTCTAAGGTGGTGAAGGCCGCACGTAAAAGTAGGAATTTTGTCAAAAAAGCGGCAAATATATTGAATATTTACACACCGGGAGATGATAAGAATGGGCAAAAAGGTCCGTTTGACCACGATGGAAATATCATTCAACCTGAACCCATGACACTCCACAACGACGCATCTAGAAAAGCAAAAGCTGCCGAAGAAGCTGCGAAAAAGGCAGCCGAGGAATCAGACAAGAAACTGGAAAGACTGCTAAACCGAAATCGATATAAAACCGAACGAGACGAGAAGAAGCATCGCATCAAAGACAAAAACCCGGAAAATCCTTACGCACCAGAAAGAAAAGAAGACGAAGAAAGTATTGTCACAGATAGCGATTTTGTAGGTAACTATCGAGAGAGAAATGAAGCAGATAATGATCCACCTCCTGAGAAAAAGCCAAGGGTTCATCATCGTCATCGCGAATATGTGCGAGATGGTTATGGAAGTGTGGCTTCTTATCACTCCGATTCAGATTCATACTCAGGTATAAGCTCTATGTATGCGCCATCCGTAAGAAGAATCTATGATAAGAGGAGCGGGCATCATGGGAGACATCGGAGGCATGGAAGTGGACATCATTATCGCCCGGCTCATTATGATAGTGACGTTAGTAGTGATACGGGGAGACCGCCGAGCGTTTATAGCTATCCTCCGCCGCATCATGGGGGTTTTAGGTAGGTACGGGTAGCCAGTTATTTGGTTCTTGACGTTTTAACGAGAGGGTTATAATGTGTTTGGATACTTAGTATATCACGGGGATTTTCAATGTGCCATAGATGTAGCTGTGAGTTTTGATAGTTGAATACGGCATCTTTTGGCAAAGGGAATAAAAGTCATACAGTTCAGAGCTTGAGAGTGGTTAATTGTAAGAGAAGCTTGCTTATTATTCGTTTGGTATCTAATAATCAGTTTGAACTCTGTATTCACTTAGATCTTCAGGGGCCATTTTCGCTGTTCTCTTTAGCGATTCCTTCCATGTTTCCTAAAGCCATTCATTAAGAAAAAAAAATGGTGTCTATTTACATATGATCCTGGTCGTATAAAATGTTTTGAGTAATTGTCTCAACGCTTCTTTTCGTTGCGAGCAGCCAACTTCAAAAGAATAGTCAACATTGTTTCCCACACCTCGTGAGATACCGCTCCAACCCCCTCCAAAAACGAGGCGTAAAAATATTTGTCAATCAACCAAAATTTCATGTAGAGCCCATAACATAGTGCCCATGCCTCAGACCAACCTTTTACCAAATCCCAGCCATAGAGAATCAGACTACACTTCTATATTGAGATTTATCTGATCGTTATGGTGTACCTGATGGCATTGACATGTAAAGTCACCGCTGCACTGACAGCAAGCTCTGATCACCAGTTCGGTCCGAGCGATGGGAAAGGATCGAACGATTTAAACGAGATAATAGGGACTGCGATGTCTCATCACATTGATGCTGTGCGCTGATTGTCTATCCACTGACTTGCACGTGTAAAATTGATGAACATGAACTGAAGTATTCGAACTAAAGTCTCCTAGCATGTTATGCGTTGTCTTGATCTTCCTGTAATATCGTTAACATTGTTCACTTCCGTAGAAATCCGCATTATCCAATACAAAGCCTAGCATTCGACCAAAAGATACCTCGGACGAAAAGATCGGTTGTATTTCCCTATTGTGTAAGCCGACCGCTATTGAAATCCAGCTTTGTCATTCAGGAATCCGAATCCTTCTGGATCGCAGGGTGTTAACCTGGTGGGGATCAGAGTGTTCGGACGAACTAAATGGTGCTAGCCAATAGTCCTATCGCAGTTCCGATCTAGCTAACTTATCTATATCTCCGAGAACTCAAATTTCATTGGTAGCCACGAGTTAGAGACGAACGACAAGGTCATACGGAGTAGACATATCTCTAGGCACATCAAAAAAATGTATGCATAGGGTGTGATTAGTTCTGAACTAAAATTGGCAGTTTAGCCGATTACCGACAACGAATCATTTACGAGCTTGCTGGAGAGCAATTTTAAAAAAGCCTCGTGAAATATATTTCACAAAGTATTATATATTAGAACGAGACGCACTTGTAGCTTACAGTCGGTCAGCCAGTCTACTCGTAACTCGTTATTGGAAAGCAAACAATAGTTGCATTCATACAGCATTCGTGAATTCCAGTCCTTTTGGAGTTGACATACCAACAGTCGAGTTTTGACCCTCTCCCATTAACCGAAAGCAGATCCTCCGCAAAATTGAAATTTGTCACAACCGGGCACCCCATTCGAAAAATTTAACGTGAAGAACTATCCACCAAGTAGCTCCAAAAATCGTATCTCGCAGGTGCATCGTAGATACGATTCACGAGGTTATCGCGTGGCTTGAAGAGAGACCTATATTAGACTTCTTTCGTAGGCGTTAGACTCGCTCTTGCCGAGAAATTGTCGATACAGGGAACTATTAAGAAGCGTCATAATCCATGTCCACCTGCCTGAAATCTCTCTGCTTCCATCTTCATATATACCAGTGACTTGCAGATTTTAGTATCTGAAAAGCCAATTGCTTAACGTCATCCTCAATTTCTGTTGATGATCAATGATTGCCTTTTCCTTCTCTCCTCATGAGCAACACTTCCTCGATATACCATGGTCTCAATCGCAATGATGGACCTCATCTCTCGTGATGATCATGTTCTCGGTGTTAATCGAGGAGCCCAGGTGACGGGTGTTGCCTGTGCTGCTCTAGCCTTACCGTGGATTGCCGGTATACTTCGATTTTATGTCAGGATTGGAATTCAAAAATTCTTTGGACCTGAGGATTGGTTGACTGTTGCTTCCATAGTATGTATGTCACTATGATGTATGAGGATCAATGTTAACGTTATGGACCTTAGACTATACATACTGCTTTGTGTGGACTTTTATTGCGGTCACTTGCATTTGGACTCGGTGCTCATATATACAATATCAATTCAGATTATCTCGATGAGCTTGCTAAGGTGTGTATTCTCGAAGAATACAATTGGATATTCAGCTCACTATTTCCAGTACATATTTGCGAGTGAACTTCTCTATGTCATCACCATGGCTATTACGAAAGTTTCCATCGGGGTCTATTTTTTACGACTCGCCAACAAACGATATCAATTTTGGATTATCTACAGTGTTATGGCTATTGCAGTTCTGGTCAGCATGGCGTATTTCATCTTCGTACTGTTGCAATGTCAACCAATATCTTATTTCTGGAATATGTTCGACGACGGCAGCGGATTTTGCTTGAGCACATCAACTCGAGCTAACGTTACCTATGCACATGCCGCCATGAGTGCTCTAACAGACTGGGCTTATGGTATTCTACCAATTACATTTGTCTGGAAGATGAAGATGAATCCGCGCACAAAACTTTCAGTTGTTCTTATTCTATCTCTTGGTTTCTTGTAAGTTTTGCCAACGTACGTTTCAAATACAACGATTTGCTAACCTACCTATAGTGCAAGCACAGCAACAATAATCCGCATATACTACATTAATAAACTCAACCAAACCACCGACTACACTTGGGAAGGAATCAATCTAGTTAAATGGTCCATAATTGAACCCGCCATCGCCTTAACTGCCGCATCCTTTGCTACGCTTCGACCTCTCTTCAGTGCCCGTCAAAAGAGAACCTTTAGTATCTACTCTGATAAGTCGGCCACCGCTGGCAAAACTTCCCAGGAAACCCTTGTCAATTCTGATGACGAATATTCGAAACGATTTGCTGCAATGCTGGGTCTAGACGACACTTATGGCGTTCGAACATACGTATATGCGGATAAGAAAATCGTGCGGAAGGATGATTTAGAAAGAGAACGACTACAGGCGGCATGGAAAGCAGAAGAGTCGGATGATTCAATAGAAGTCAGTGTTCTGAGTGCAGGGTACCAAACAGGAGAGAGCAGCCGCTCGATCGGAGAAAGTAGTGAGACAGGAAGTAGAAGTGGGGAAAGGATTGATTGGGCGAGTGGATATAAGACGACCGTTATCACTCAGACGAGTGAATGATTTGTTTATTTTGCGAAGATACCTTTGTGTTTGCTTTACGTTTGCTGTGTTACTTAGCGGGAATTTGGGATATTGTTATTGGCTCTTCTATTCTATTTTATAATATACTTTGGAGAGAACGGGCTTGAAATACTATGTTTATTGAGCTCTAAAACATTGTATGTCTGTTCATATGAGCGCAGTAATACATGTCTGATGACGTCTTTTAAAAAAGCTTTATGATTTGCAAAATAATTCAATGTCAATGCCAAAAATTCCAGACCCTAAAATCTGTTGCAATGTAAAACGAAGTGTTCTTTTGGAGGGGGACCTCGGATAACACTGCCGACTTCAGGTCAATATCGTCGAGTCCCACTCTGCACAATCAGGGAGACAAATAAGTGCGGTATTCATGTGTCGAGAATTTACGCCAATTCTTCGTAAACTTCGATATGAAACACGTGGAAATCTGCCATCACCCTCTTCACCCTGTGTGGAATTTTTATGAAAGAAGTCCTCATGAACAAACGATAAAACCATCTCAATGCTCACTATCAGAACTTCCACCCTCAACCTCTTCCTGCACTTCTAAGTCCGATTCAGAGTATGAACCCGACGCTTCATCCTCCTCGCCATCAGATGCTTGTTCCCGGTCTCCTATATCCACCCCAGATTTGCTTCGTTTTCTCTTCTCCTTGTCGATACCCCGCCATCCTCTCTTCCCGGTGAGCGGCTTGAGAAATCTATCGGTATGTACCGCTCCTTCCATCTCTTCATCACTGTCAATACGAGAAGCATTTCGCTTTGTGGGAGGGTGGTCTTTACTATCCGCGTTTTCCGTGTCGGAAGCTGAATATGACGATTCGTCTTCGTCTTCATCGAAAGACGCTCCAGATTCTTCAGATTCATCAAAATCAGGAATCATTCCCGGGCAATATTCTGTTACTTTATCGTCCTTTCCTCCTACTGCAGGTCCCTCAACCATAGTCCTCATTACCATATTCTCCCCAAAAAGATCTGCACATCTTTGCGTAGCCCTAGCAATGACATTCGGCGAGAATCCAACTAATGCAGCAGATCCTAGTACCTCGCTCCAATCCCTGAGACCTAGCATCTGCTTGCGTGTCTTATCTGAAAGCTTTCTAGGTGATTTTTGAGGAGACACCGAGGCAGGTGTTCGTTCCCGTTTAGGTGTACTTGGCTCGATTGGTGGGGCAAAAATTGGCAGTGGTTTCTTCTGAATTCTGGCAATCCGAGTGAGATATTCATGCTGGGTTTCGCCCTCTAACCTCGCGTAAACCTTCTTCGGCCGTCCTCGGTGAGTTTTCTTCACTCTCCAAAGTTCGGGGTCGTCAAGGCCATTCTCATTTGGTGTAAACACAGGGACGGCTGCAGGATCAATGGGCTGAAGTTTGCGTGGCCGACCCACTGGCCTTTTAACAGGCGAATCTCTATCTGTAGCATCACCTGCTATGCTAGTTGCACGTGAACGAGACTCCACGTCCGTATCGAACTCAGTTTGAGCGGCATACTGTCGGCAGGTTTTGCGCGCATGGTGCAAAGCCATCAAGACATCATCTAATTTCGAAAGGGTATGCCTGATTGATGGGTGCAACAATTCTCGAGAACGCTCGTCGTCAGCTGATATCTCGGGTCGGAGTATAGTTGTGGTGAGAGGTGGCTCCGATGATTTTCTAATACCATCTTCTCCAATCTCAGGATCTTCCGACTGCTCTTGTTGTGGTTCATCAATATTCATTCCCTCGGTAACACTATTTTCGACTTGTCTTTCATGGTCCTCGGCGATTTCCCTTTGCAGAAATCTCTCTCTTGAATACTTTAACGTGACCCCGATCAATTCATCTTCCAAAGCCCTACTCAATTTTGTAGTCTCCTTTCTTCTCAGAGTAAACACTTCGTCATTATCATCCGGACCTATCTGCTCGCCTTCCCTTGGGACCTCCGTCGCTTCAATTGGCCATGCAGTCCATTTTTTAGGAGGTACAAATTCATTTGAGTTATCTTGATCCTCATCTTTACCATGAACAGTTCCATCAGCATTGAATTCTTTGGCTCGCTTTTTCAAAGCGAAAGCATTATATAAATGAAGGCTCAAATCTCTGTTCCGAAGTTCATCCAGCGAGGCCGCCAAACCACGTTCTTCTTCTGTGATTTGTTGCCATGTTGAAGCTGGTCCATTCCAGCGGTTTTCGCGGGGCGGAGAAGAATTCGTGAATGTCGAGTTTGTTGGCGACGACATTGTGAAAAGTCATGCAATGAACATTGTTACGAAGATCTTGTGAATGCTTTGGAAAATGGACAGAAAAATGTTAATTCGGCGTTAGGCAAAAAATGTGCTTACCGCTTACCGTATTTGATTTCACAACACTTTCCATAACCGCAATCGACAGGTCAGAATTACATTAAATTTCCAACTCTCCCTCAAAGAACATTGAAAATCATAAAGTTTCAGAGGTGTCAAAATGATTTGTTGGCTCCAAATTATCATATCGTCATTCCGATATTCAATACCGCTACTTTTGACTGATTTAGTACTACAATATGTGTACACATTTGCAACTGATGTGCACGTAAGAGAGGTACAAACTTTGAATCTCTCAATCTTGATTCAGTATAGTTTGTCCAGTCACATTCGTTGTAATCAAGAGTTACAGCAATTTATGTAATTTCAAAGTTAGTTTGTAGAATCTGTCACCGATCACGTATAGCCATGGACACCACAGCAGAACGGTTTTTACTCTTAGTTTTTTTTTTTTTTTGAAAAGATCGCCCACTAAGCTTTAGTAACCATAGGTTCATTCTCAAGCACCGTACTGGGTATAGTGGAGTCTAGACCTATATCCTCAGTATATCATGCTACATCATAGACCTTTCATCTGCATCATAAAACTTCTACCACAATTTGTAGACCTCCACTGATCATTCGAAATATACTCGGCGCTGACGGATGTTAAGATTCTTACCGTGATCATGAACACCCCCAATCGGATTCCCCGACTTCCTCAGAAAAGAAACCCTCAACGCTCTACAAATTCAAATCCTCAATCTCTCTCGAATCAAAATCGACGTCTCATCGCAGCGAACTCCTCTCAGACCCGAACTCAACGAACCGAACTCTCACCAGTTCCCAAAGAATATCCGGCCCGATCAACCAAGGTATCTCCGCAGTTGCCTTCGGGCATCGTCATGTCACTGACCTCTCTTTAGTCTCCCGAATCCTCGTTTAAATGGACAAATCCGGATCCTTTCAATACTGAAAGTAAAAACCGTTCGGTACGTCGGACTCTTGCGTCTCCCGCGCGCTTCGACTCCGGAATTGACAGCATTGCTCCCGATTCACTGGTACCCTTCGACTGCGGCATTGACAGTGTTACTCCTGATTCACCGGCATCCTCCGAATCCGGCATTGACAACGTTTCTCCTGCTTCACTGACACTCTCCAACTCCGACATGAATGCCAATGCCAATGCGCCAGAGGTGTCAATAAAGCAACGTATCTACAATGCCATACGCACCTTTGAGATTGAGATCAAATCACGAATGAAATTGGAAAGTAAATCGAAAAGGGAGGAGAGAAGAGCGCGAGAGAGACTAAGACGCAAGAGCATAGCAAATGGTGCCGCAAGAGCAAAGGCCGAAGATGTGAGGATGAGGGCCCAGCTGGATGTGCACTATGAAGATGAACGGAGAAAAAACAGCAATGCGCGAAGGAAAGCAAAGGAAAATGAGATAGAAATAAAGGCAAAAGAAAAACGTCGGAAGGTCCAGGAAAAGAAGCGAAATGACCAGGAGAAGAAAGAGCGCAGGGAGGAGAAAGGGTGGGAAAAGATGTGACTGGGATTCAAAACGGAAAATTGGGAATGTCGCCCGTAGACTAATGTAAGGATAAAGATTGCATTGGATTGATTATATGGAGAGATGCTTTTGCACATACATCGTCATTTAAGGCATAGAATAGAGGCCGTGTACCATAGGTTCTGGTACGAGATCTTCGGCAGGCTTTGAATTTCTTAGCCTTCATCGTCATGGATATATTTTTGGAAGTTTGTAATGACGTAGTAGAACCGAAGCCTCGTTGTACATAACTTCATAGGAATCACGACATGTCGCATTGTACCAAAGAAATATCGATGATGGATGCGATCTGATCTGATTGCTTTATATCATACTTATATTTGCCTGACCTCTTTACCCTTCATTTCCGGTCGTTCAACTTCCCATTCATCCCTGAGGACTGCATAGAGTAAATCTGCAACCACCAGGACACTCCAGCCAAGGCTCCATACGAGTGTAATTGCGTAGAAAAAATTGGCATTTCCACTTCCGGCATAAATCCAAAGATAGTAAAAGGCAGGTCCCAATAATGTTGCATATAGAACCGTAGAAGAGGCTAGGAAAGAATATCGCATTAATGGGAAAAGGTGACTATAGACTGGCAGCATCCCTAAGAACAGAGAGGTATCTGATATTGATGGATATGGTTTAAAAATCGCAAAGATTCCGAGGAGTATTGTGAGCACAAAAAGAGGCTGACGTCGTACGCGAATGGTAAGGCCCCCGACATATGATGAGAGGTGGAGCCAGAATACACCGAGGAAGAATGACCTAAAAGAGTCAAACATTTCAATGAAGAAATACCACCACAGTCCAACATTGGGCGTGAGGTCTGGAAGAAGAAGTTGGACACCATAAGTTGATGATAGAAATTCCCAAGACCCCGTGATTATGTACGACATGTGTAAAAGGGAGTATAAGTAACCACAGACAGCTATGGCATTGGTGCCAATGAACAATGGTAAAGACTCCTGACGCTTACTAGGACGTTGACGATCATAGCATAGCAGGGCCAGAGGAGGGAAAAGAAGTATGGGATACATAGACAGGTACGCTGCGAATGCTATGGCGAACATCGAGGTATAAGATGCGCCAATTAATGCTTTTGAAATGGCATATAATATAGCATAAGTTGTGAATATGCTTGTTGGACGGCCAATGCATGTTGCAATGGTGAATGGGTTGAAAAGAAAGGCAGCAGCAATGGCGAAGCTGGTCCACCGTTTATCCTTTCTAGGAGATGTGAAGAGCTTCGAATTTCCTGCCTCCCCAGACTCTGCTATATTGATTAAAGCATTTGCGCTGGCAAGGTCGACCAATGTGTATAGTAGGTATGTGAATGCGGGATACATCGAAGAGCTTGGGAGGAGAGAGAAGAGAGGGAGGAATAACGGTGCCTGATGATAGACACCACCATCGTATGGGGAGACATTGTGATTGTAAAGAAAGAGGCCCTCTTGTACTGCATGAAGTTAGTCGCCAATTCAATGCTTTTCTCTGCGTATGGGAACATACATCTCTTGAAGCTTGTAACTGGTGTAGAGATCTCGACTCTCGCTGTCAACAAATCTGGGAGGCCCGGGAAAGATGCAAATAGTAACAGTCGAACAGCTGCTGCTGCACCGAAAAGAGCTGCCTTCCTCCTATCGATACTCATGATGGTCATGAGCTAATGTCAAGTTGTTGAGCAAAAGAATGAAGCTCAATCATCAAATCAACTCCCTTTCTCATCTTATTAACCCATTCCCTCACTCACTCAATGCAGTAACCATCTTATGTACTTCAATTCATTCTCAACCAATAGATTTGTTTTGATGTTCTGTTGTTCTAGGGTCAGGTGGTCCGTGTAAGGCGGTGAGATGGTCTATCCAATAAGCAAAGAGTTCTTCTGTTAATCAGCGGATTGAGAAGCTTTGGAGAAATAAAAAAAAAGTTCTCTGGGAACTTTTTTATCAGCACGACTGAGAAACCCCCCCCACGATACTATCTCCATTCTCATCTCGATCTCAATCGCAACAGCAACAATGGGAAGAATTAAGAAGAAGGGAACTTCTGGTCAAGCCAAGAACTTCATTACCAGAACTCAGGCAGTCAGAAAATTACAAATTTCGTAAGTACATATTCATATACATTGTAGTATTGAAAAAGTCCCTCCCCCAATTCCTTCAGTCGCATTGTTGCTTCTGCTTCACTTCTACTTATATGTTGAACAATAGTACTAATTCTTTGATTTGAATAGTCTACCTGACTTTCGTAAGTTGTGTATCTGGAAAGGAATTTATCCTCGAGAACCAAGAAATAAGAAGAAGGCATCGAAATCCTCGACACATTCTACCACCTTTTACTACACAAAAGATATCCAATGGCTATTGCACGAGAAGATTGTCGATGCTTTCCGTGAGCAGAAAGCCTTAGAGAAGAAAATCTCGAAAGCTTTAGGACGAGGAGATGCAAGCGACGCTGCGAGACTTGAACGCAATGCATCAAGACCGGAGAAGACTGGAAAGACTAAATACAATTTGGATCACATCATCCGAGAAAGATATCCTACATTCATCGATGCGCTACGAGATCTCGACGATTGTTTGTCAATGCTTTTCTTATTTGCAAATTTACCCTCGACCTCGACTGTTCCTGCAAAGATGATTGCGAGATGCGAGAAGTTATGCTTGGAATTCGAACATTATTTAATCGTCTCAAATAGTTTGCGCAAGTCATTCTTGTCTATCAAGGGAATTTACTACCAGGCAACTATACAAGGACAGGATATTCTGTGGTTAGTGCCTTATAGATTCAACCAGAGAGTCACTGGTGATGTGGACTTCCGAATCATGGGCACCTTCGTCGAATTCTACCAGACTTTGCTAGGATTCGTCAATTTCCGCCTCTACACTTCTGTTGGATTGGTGTACCCACCAAAATTCGATGCGGCTAGAGATGATCAAGATGCAGGTCTAGGAGCATTCTCATTGGAAGGAAATGGTATTGGTGCTATTGAGCAACCAAAGCAGATCACCAATGGCGATGCAAAGCCCGATCCTAAACTCCAAGCAGAGATTGACAAACTGATGCTTCAACTCAATGCACCAGAGAAGGAGGCCGAGGAGACAACCAAAACTTCACCCGATGGCGAAGATGAAGAGCAAGCAACTGAGACTATTGATAAATTCGAGCCAGCTGCACCAGGTGGTGATATCCTTATGCAACCTTCTTATTCTGCCACAGATCCATCGACTTTGTTCTCAAAGTTTACTTTCTTTTTATCAAGAGAGACTCCACGCCAGCCTCTCGAGTTCATTCTTCGGGCATTTGGCTGCAAGCGTATTGGTTGGGACGCAGTCCTTGGAGAGGGTGCTTTCACTCATAATGAATCAGACCCATCGATTACCCACCAAGTGGTTGATCGCCCACCCGTACAAGTCCAACCTGAGGAAGATGAGGAAGTCAAGGAAGACAACCAAACAGCACAGCGCTTGAGGCCCGGAGCTCGAGTCCCTGGTCGCATTTATATTCAACCACAATGGATTTGGGATTGTATCAACGATGAGGAGCTCAAAAGACCGGATCTATATGCACCCGGTGCACAATTGCCTCCACATTTGAGTCCCTTTGTCAAGAAAGTACGTGGTCAGTATGATCCATCTGCCCCACTTGAAGACCAAGAAAGGGAGGACGAGGAACTCGAAATGGATAGCGGTAGCGAAGATGAGGCAGATGTCTCCGATGAGGAGGCAGCTGTTAAGAAACAGGATCTGGTTACAGCTATGGATGTCGATGAGACTGCTGAGGGTATGGATGTTGCTGGATCTGATGATGAATCAGACGAGGCTCCTGAGAAGGTCGATGAGTCTTTTGGTGGATTCTCTGAAGCCGAAGACAGCGAAGATGAAGAAGAGACCACTGCTCTTCGACGTCAACGAGAACTTGAGGCTGAGTTATCTGGTGTGGCCTTACAAGAAAAGGAAGTTGACCCAAGAAATAAAGCTAAGATGGATGCCAAGAAGAAGGCCGCCAAGAAGGCGAAAGAAGAAGACGAGGAGTTGGAGAGATCTAAGATGATGATGAGCAGAAAGAAGAGGAAGATTCTAGAGAAGATGGTTTACAGTAATAAAAAGAAAGACGCAGAGGCAGAGGCATTGAGAGCCAAGAGGAGAAAGATTGAGAAGTCTGGAAAAGCAGCTCCAAGAGAGTAAGAGAATAATGGTGGTCACTGTAGCTGAGAAAAGTATGGCGTTCGTGGCTTGGACAAGGAGTTTCAACCTGCATTTGGGGGTTTATTACTGTGGTTATACCTGTGAATATTAGACTAGCCAATCTTTCTTTTATTATCATGAATATTAAACACAAATCTGTGTGGCTTCTTGTGATTTTTTGTGACTTGCTTTGTGACTTTGTGAAACTTATTTATTTTATATACTTTTGGATGACTGATCATGTGATAGGTACCCAAGGCCTGAAAGGACTTAAATACAGGGTCTCTTTATGACTTTTTGGCAAGGTCGGGTTTCAGAAACAGTAAAAGCAAATTCGCGTCAGAACTACCGAACGTACACACTATGGCTGTGGATCATCATTTCTCCCGGCATGTGAAAGCTTAATCTGCTGATTGTAAAACAGAAAGTACAACTTTCAAATAACACAGCTATCGGGCGACCTCCTCTACTTTCTGTTTTCCAACATGCGAGAGCAATCATTCTCATAACTTGGATGCTACTGCATATTCGGATAGCTAGGCCGGGAGAAAAATATGACATCTCATCCTCCTCTCGACGCCACGACAAGAAATAGTTCTAGCACTTCACCGATCGAACGCCGAACGACTTCAAGCACGTATTCGAGTTCAACCCAACGATATAGTAATGACAGCAGCGAGACGGGCGAATCTAGCACGGCGGTCAGTAATCGAAATAGCTTTGCGACAAGTACCTTGAACGAAGAAGGTAGTGAACAACAGGGTGGATTGGATGGAGGCATAGAGGACAGAAGTAAAAAGGATGGGAGAAGCAACCATAGGGCCCACAACAAGAGTCGAAGTAGTGGAGGATTTTTATTATCAAATTCTCTATTCCATCGCAATGCAGAGACCTTATCTACGGCCACGGCAGAACAACAACCTCGCAATCGGGGGGTTCTTCACGATGTGAAAGGTAAATCAGCGGACAAAAAACAGAGCAAGAGACAATCACGTAATGGTACTATAGTAGGAAGCCCCCTAGCCTCCAATGTGGCGAGCGCTCCCACGGCCCAGGACATAGAAGAGGAAGATGTAGTTGATGAAAATACGACGCCGCACAGTGATCAAGGGCGAGGTGCAAATGCGTCCGAAAAGCCTGTTACAAGCGGGCTTGATGTTGATTCTGCCCAGATCGTCAATTTGGCCCTGAATCTTAGTGAAAGTAGAAGAATCGCATCGAGACGTAATGCTTCTACACCATTGCCCTCGAATGCTGTAGGATTTAGAGATGAGATGGCAGGAGGTAGTCTACGTCACCATTTACAGCAGCAAAGGAGAGTGTCCAGAAACATCTCACCGAAGCCTGACAGAATTGATAGGGCACTCACAAGTTCTCCACGCCTTTCATCGGGAGTAAAAATTGGCCCTCTGCCGATAACTTTAGATGCATCCGAAACTGCCTACCAATACCAATTCTCTTCATCTACATTGGCGAGAGCAGAAAAGGCTAAAAAGGCAATTGAGCTCATGGCCCAATACCGTCGATTATTACAATATGTCCCTCCATTGAAGGCAGGATCTGTGGAGAAGAATCAGCACAGCAGTCCAGGCTCGACGTCTGAACAACCTCATCGCATATTCGGCAGGCAATATAATCCTTTGCAGTACATCAGGAATAGAAAAGTGCGTGCTCGAGCTCGGATTTCCATTGATGGAGAAGCACAAGAATTCGGAAACGTTCACAAGGTTTCATGGTGGGTTGATGAAGTTTCGAAAGCTGCTTTAAGTGACGGTTTTGTCAACGGAAATCATGTAGCACTACCGCCATTCTCAAAAGCTATAGAAGAAGGCCATTCGCCCCATACATCACCTCAGTCTGCGGGGAGTAAAAATCAAAGCGCCCTTAAATTGGCAAGACCCAGAATTGACTGGGCTACTAGTCCTGCAGATATGCTTGCAGACATCTTCTGGATGGAACAGGGTGACAACAAGACGCTGATTGAAGATCGAAATGGGAGACCAATATTTTCTCGAAATCCTGAGCCTAGGCAATCTATCCCACGCAAACTTGACGACTTTGACATACTTAAATCGCCGGATCGCTCCCATCACAAGAAATCGAACTCGGCTGTCGACCTTCGTATCGATACTAAGCTTCCAGAGTTCAGATCTTCTAAGGTTGATTCAGATAAGCATCTGGAAAGTAAAGCCTCCAAGGTTCGGCACAAACTACATGACGCAACCCATGCGCAACATGGCAGCCACAGTGTAAGCCGTGAGCGTTCCCGCTTTTTACGATCTAGGAGTAGATCTAGTTCCGATTCCTCCGACAGTGAACATATAAAAAGGTTTTCAAAACGGAGACGTAGTGGGACGAACGAAAGTCAAGATGATCACGGTAAAGACATTCTTGAAAAACAGATGTTGGAAATGCTTGCGAAGGAATCTGGCGATTTCAATTGGATGACACCCAACAAGCTGGATAAACAGGCCTCCGTTCCAGCTGTAGAGACGCCAACTCTCCCTATACTCAACAGTGGGGAGAAATCGGATTCCAGTATAAGTTTGCATCAAAGAAGGACGGACCTGAAGGGTATCAATAAAGATTCTCCTATCAAGAAAAGACACCCTTTCACATCTACCCCATCAGGACGACCAAGCCTCGAAGTACCGGGCGTTAGTCCTCGAAACTCTTTGGACGGCCTTGATACTACTGCTCCCAACTCCCCACAAATACGGGCCTCGAAGTTGTCTAATTTTGTTCCTAGTATTGGACTAGATCTCTCATCACCTCGTAGTCGCCGGTCATCGCCAAACAGAAAACGGGCCTTATCACGAGTGCGGTCTAAGATTAATCCGTTCCGTGAGCACAGCAGAGACCGCAGTGGTGAATACGAACCAGATAGATCTCGTGTATCGATAGACTCTATTGGTTCCATAGATTCAAGAATTGATCCTAGAGAATACATTCCTGAAGCTCTCAATGGCCGTAATCGGTCCTTGAGCCCCACGAAGAAACTCACGTCGAGAGACACAGATGAAAGTGCAAAGTCTTTGAAGAAACAGACAAGCCTGCGGAGGGGTAAAGGTGACGAACCATCTGGCATCCGAGGATTGTTCAAGGGCTCTCGTGGACCTGTTGCTAGAGTTAGCGAGTTTTTATGGAAAAAGGATTCGAACAATTCTACTGCTTCAACCGATGAATCCGACATGGAAGATTTCCGCACGCCGGTGCGCGAAAACGAAAAGACACTTCTTTTGGATAGGTATGACTCGAGACTAGTAGATGTGGAAGTGTCACATGATAAATCGATTCCAACTTATCTCAATGACATGCCTTCATTTAAGTCGCCTTTGGAAAATCGCGGAAGGTCTACGAAAAGTCGTAAAGCAGAAGCAGTCATTGAAGCAGAACCTTCGGATGTTGAAAATCCATCTAGTTCAAAACTCGAACCTCCTCCAAGAATCGAAATAGACGGCGTTTCACCAGCATCATCTCCGGAAGGAGGAAACCGACACGATTCTGATGTCTCTGATGATTCAACTCGCAAGGAAGGTTACGCTCGAGGTGTTCGTAACGCGGACGCTCGGTTGAATGCCATACTCGGATATCCTGGCAGGGTCGATACAATGCCAGTAACTGGCTTGTCACACATCTCAGCGAATGACAATAGACGCCCCTCACTTGATATAAATCGTCGTTGGAGCCACTCTGATAGCGGAGTATCAATTCATCGTGGTCCCTTGACAAAACGAGACATTGCATACGTTAAAACACGTCTTTACTCATCTGGCGTCAAGTCAATGTACCTCACACGTCAAGCCGCGGAACCAGTAGACTTTCGAACTGCGCAGGGGAGTTGCTACAAAGGTATAATTTCTCTCACCAATAAGTCTCTTTCTCCGGTCCCAAGATCACAACAGCATATATTAGCAGCAAACATCATTAGGGATGACATTCAACTTTCAGCACAATTATGGCAAAAATCTCAAGAAAACTTCTCCATGAATACTATTCAAACGCTTCTGGACGAAATGGGAGCTCTACATAGCCGTCTAGTTGATAATTTAACTCCAATGGCAAGAAAGGCAGCGGATGAAGCGGATGAGGTCTCCAAAGATCTGGTCACAAGTCAGATATTGGAAGTCAATAAGTTGACGGCTAGCATGGATAAGATGATCCGAAGAAGGAGGAGAAGATTTAGATGGGTGAGAAGAGGAGGGTGGGTTCTGGTGGAATGGGCGTTGGTGGGAGTAATGTGGTATGTTTGGTTTATGGTTGTGTTGTGCAGAGTTGTTATGGGGATTGGAAGAGGTGCGGTGAGGGCTGTGAGGTGGCTATTTTGGCTGTAAACGGTGTTACAGTCGTATCTATTGCATAGAAGAAGAACTTGCGACTTGGAGAATTTCACATTAACAACGGAGCAGTAAGGGAATAATTTTGAATGGTATGCTGGGTTTCGCAAGTGGAGCAATGGGTTTGGAAATAAAAGAGCTATGGATGAATAGGATGGATGGACTCGGAAAAAGTCTCGTTTGTCGGTAGAATTGGAAAGAACACTTTTAATACATTAATGATACCCGATAATTTAGTCTAATACAATACATTTCAATATGAGAGGTTCAGTAGTCCACTTGAAACCTTCGTGCAACCTGAGATACTCCCCAGTGTGAGATGGAGATGCTTGCTTGGTGAATCGGTTGAGCATTCGAGTGGTTGCCGCTAATTAACTTTTTGATGTTTTTCTTTGTCTCTTACACTTTGCTTCCTTTATTCTTTTACTTCCACAATTCTATTTTGGTCCAACATCTATGGTGATTCTTTGTCTCGGATCTCGTTGTTGGCTGACAACACTGAAACAAGTTACGACTGTCACGTATTTAAGCTCTTCATTCCCCTATTTGTCTTCCTCTACATCTTTCACCATCTCCCGATACACATATCACAGCAACGAGCTCGCGGACCATTCCCAACATCTCATCAATTTCACATCTATATACAGATACTAGCAAGCAAAAGTGAGGCATCATGTCACATAAAGCCCAAGCTCCGGTATACAACACCGACAACGGCAAAAAGCCACCTCCATCGATCGAAGACGAGAGAATTAGTCCCCAAACTTTCTACAAGCTAGCTGCTCTTGATTCAGAATCTGCTTTAGAATCTGCGTCTGAATCTGAATCTGAGGTTGAGGAGTATGAAGCTTATCAGGAACCATATTATGATTACAGACATGAAGAGGGATCTCGCGCGAGATCTCCATCTCCTGAGCCTGTTTATCGGCAATCGAGCTCCAATTATCATAGGGATGATCATAGACCACAAGATACTTATGGAAGAGAAGAATATGACAGGCCTTATGTTGTTTATCTAGATATGCTAAAAGAATTTCGTGCTCGAAGGCGAGCCGAGCGAGCTGCTCGAGCTACCCAGGATGATGAACCTCAACCATCTCACCATAGCCGCAGAGCTCCTTCCCCTGAGAGAGAAGAATATCGCAGGCCTCATGTTCCTTGTCCAGATTCGACAGAAGAACATCGTGCCCGAAAGCGAGCCGAGCGAGCTGCTCGAGCTACCCAGGATGATGAACCTCAACCATCTCACCATAGCCGCAGAGCTCCTTCCCCTGAGAGAGAAGAATATCGCAGGCCTCATATTCCTCATCCATCCCGAGATCAATACTATAGCCCCAGAGCCCGATCATCATCTCCTCCTCCTACACGACCAAGATATCAACCCGAATCTTCCCATAAATCTTCATCATCTTCATACTCATCTTCAAGTCGCACACGTGCCGAGAAATTAAGGAAGATGGAAGAAGAACGAGAAGAAAGAGAAAGAATTAAAGAGGATCTTCGAGCAAAACAAGAATTCAAAAATGAAAGGCTTAGAAGATATCACGAAGAGAATCTGAGAGCTGAAGAATTAGATCACCTCAAATTGCGAAGAGAAGAGGAAGAAGAAGATCGTCTTAAAGATCGTCTTAGACAGAGACAAAATGATCCGAGCGAAAGATATCAATCTCGTTCCAGGCACGAATCCCGCGAAAGCTCCAGATATGAAGAACCAGAATCTACGAATCTCGCCCGAGACCTAACTATAGAGATCCAGAGTACGGCTACGATTATGCGAGAAAGGAAGTTAGAGTTCCGGAGCCGAGAAAGGGGGAGAAACTGAGAGTGGATGTCCCTGAGGGGTGGAGAATCGTTATTGTGGCTGAGGATTAGATTTAGGAAGCGGTAAGTAAGAGGAGCGTTTCTACTGTTTTTTTCTTTGGTGCTGGTATAGACTTTTTCGTCTTTCCTAGAGTCACTCCTTATATCGATTTCCTTGAGTCAATATCTTATAGTCGCTCCTTCAGTCACTTTTCTCGAGTCATTTTCTAGAGTATAGATATATAGGTAGATAGGTAGACATATGTTTCTTAGTTATCTTTCCTAAAGTCATTTTCTTTAGTTTAGTATGAGGAATTCCCAAGTGGGAACAGTAATAAAATCAGATTTTCTTTTTGAACATAATTTGTATAATAAAAATGTGAGTAATTTCGTGATTGTATAACGGTAAACTTATGCAGGCTTTCCTTTCAGTATATTTTTGAGATAGATCATATAATTAGAGTTGGCCGAGTAAAGCGTCGAAGCTATGTGATGTGTATATTTTATGGTATCGAGATCATGTTGCCTTAATTTGTTTGCCTACTGGTGTTGTATAAGCCATGTGGTCTAACATCCGCTCCCTCACGGAGTTCATCTGCCCAGTAGATTGTTCGAACTATAGATTGTCTTAGATTTCCTTTTGAATGAAGTCGGTCTATACCGGTCTGACTTTCTATGTTTTTCCAGGCGCGTTTGTGAGTATCAGAACTTCAGAAGTAGTGCTGTCGAATTGGCCTTCCTCGGAGTGCCATCGTCTCATAGTCTCAGAATTCCAAATCTCGCCCACGTTTGTACGTCGTCGAATCATAGTGATTTCTCCCTTTAATGTACAAAGCAAAGACATCGAATCAACAGCGAAGAAATGGAGGGTGCCGAAATTCGAATCGTTTGTTCGAACAGTACAACGCACATTCGTCGTTGTTCTGTGATGGTTTTTGTATCATCAGAGCTGAGTATCTGTTCTTCTTTCCGCGAACAACGCTATTACTTCAAACCTTCTTCTCAGAACAATGCCTCATCATGACGATAAATAGCTCTGAATCCTGCCGTTATGTCTTCATTTCCATAAAAACCAGAAGACTCTGAATCTAACAACACAAAACACCAATCACTAACCAAGACACCAATCTCAACATGTCAGCTAAAGAAGTCACCACTCCCAGCTGCCAAGCAACAGAAACTTTCCACAATCATTGTGGCCACATTATCACCACCTTCACCCATCACTCAGACCTCTGCGTACGGAACCAGGACAGCCGACCCACCACCTCCGACTCCGCAATCTCAAATGCTAGCTCACAGCTTCGACGCTCAGCCAGCTCCGCGTTTAAAGGCATGGGACAGACTTTGGGAAAATTGACTCGACGATTAACTCTTCGATCCTCTCAACAACAGCAGGCTCAAACCACTTCTCACGAATTCACTTTCACATCTCGAGTCTCCTGTCCTCAAGTTCTTTTTCAACCCCTCTTCCAACCCTATCCCTGTCCACCTTGCGCAAAGGTCATGGGAATGGGTCCTGGAGACTTGAATAAGATTTTTGCTGGACCCGAGGAAGAGCTGTGGCAACAAAGGAAGAAGATTCTCAACCGAAGGCGGATGAATGGGCTGCGAAGATGGGAGAATGGGAACGTGGGGTTAGAGTTCCGAGGAAAGATGGAGATTCATAAGTAAGTCAAGTTTTCTTTTTTCCCTTTGTTTTTCATTCCTTCTAAATAAGAATAAATCCGAGAGAAACCCCCTAAAAAAAATGGCAAGTACTTGATCATTTAAGACACCATCTAGTTCAGGTAAGTAATATATACATACAATTTTTCCTCAAAAATACCCTTTTAACACGTGAAATGACTTGTGTAATGATTTTAATGAAAAAAATCTGTGATGAGTAAATAGCCCTTGGAAGTGAATCGCAATAAGGCAAGCAGATCTATAAACCTGTAGTTCGATATTAGAAACAGACATAGGATATTCTCAAAATTGCACAAGCATATTCGCCTAGTCAATATTGATTGATACATTCAGATATTGTTGATTCTTAATAGTAAACTTAAACAGTGGATATCATGTTGTACAATGCATATCTTTCATACGCACCCATATCCCACGGCCTAAAACCTGAACGCCAATCCATAGATACAAACTTACCATTCATATTACAGCAACATTATATCCGCAGTCCATCTTATTTACCACACCATTCCCTCAAACTCTCCCTCCCACAACCCCAGCCTGATTCCCATTCGCGATCCCTCCACTTCTCCTCCTCAGTCTATTTCCAGCCTTCTCTCTAAACCCACTATTCGTAAACTCTCTCATTCCCTGCTCTTTAATTGCCCGATTCTGTTCGAGGTCTTTTTGATCCCGAAGTCCTCCTGCAATTGCAGAGTTTACACTCCCCCTGAGTGCTTCTCCAGCTCCATGGATACCTCTGGCAGCATTTGCAATACTTTCTCGTTTGCCTCCTGGTCGGGAGAAATTAACGTTAGGCTTTGTAGGACTACCTGGCGTTTGTTGTTCATTGATTGGCATTCTTGGTGAATTGGTTGTATTTGCGTTTGATGTTAGGTTCTGATCGTGAATATCATGGTTGGCCTGTGAATTCATTTGAGCGTTTGTGGTGCTGGTATTGGTGCCGGTGATGTTTGAGGGATTGGGGGAATTCGGGTCCATAGTATGGTCTATCACGAGAGGGGGAACGGGATTGGAGTTTCGAAGTGGTGAGCGTTCGGGAATTACACGACCCCCACCAGTACTTGTTCTTCGAAGGGAATGTTCTGTTTCTGAAGGGACTGGTGTTTGAGTAGGCTGAGGAGTCCCGATTGGTGGGACAGGTGGCTCATTCGATGGGTAGGTGGTTGTTGATGCAGGAGGAGGGTCGATTGAGGGGTCATATGGGTGAGTGTAAGTTTGGGTTGAACCATCATTACGGACTGTTGTGGTCGCTTCTCCATGTCAGTTTTTTGTTCAGTCATTGAATAGGTCTAGTTTTAGATACTCACTAGTGGTAGTTGTGGTTGTGGTTGTGGTTGTGGTTCCGGGATTTGGATTTTGAACTTGATTTATCCGAGTATCTGCGCTCGAGATGTTGCTACTTCTAAAAGAATCATTATTGCGATTGTTCAAGAGCCTATTTTCATCGTCTGGAGGAACTGGGAGTGTCGCTGAAGGCGGTTCAAGGCGAGTTTTGTCTTTACTTCGGAATAAACCCATGGTAACATTTAAGTCTAGTAGAGAGTAGTTTAAAATACTAGTTGAATGAAAAACGTAGAGAATTGTACATAAACTTAAGCTCTCCAATCTCTTCTGACGTAATTATGCATCAAAATCTCAAAGCAGGATATAAATGTCGATCACTACTATGCCTGGACGAATGGCGGGGTGTTGCAGGAGATTGCGCCACAAATTCCACACTTCAATTGTGGCTGCAGTCATTACGTAGCGCCACAAAATGCGATTTTCTCCCACATGTGGGAGTGGCCATTCGCATTTGAATATGGACAATGAATGGATCCTTCTTCAGCTATTATGATCGTCTCAGAATAAAGATTAATTATTACCTGCAAATTATACAAATACCATTGATTAGTCCGATAAGTTGTTAGTTGAGTAAACCATTGGCTTGCTTGAAAGCTACATCGTAAGACTTGTCCACGAAATAGTTAGACGACTGTAACTCGCCTACTAACCCCTTCATTTATAAGCGAAGGGTACAGCCAATACTTAATTCCGTCAGCTATTCTATGGCGTGCAATTGAATGATCATGCAACTGTTCATGACTTATTTATTGTGAGTGTACTATTTAAATCTTAGTCCCAAGTTCTATACAAGCTCAAACTGGTGTAATCATCACTGCATTAAACTACTGGTAATTATATATTGAAAATTCATACCAATCATGTACTGTCCCAGTCCCTCATTTTTAATACATAGAACTCATCTCAAGTACATGCGGACGTACGCCAAATAAACAGAACTATTATTTAACATATAAACAAATATCCCATCCAGCAATTTATTTCTTCAAAGCTCCCAAGACTTGAGGTGCATGAGACTCACAACGCTCCCGACATTAACGTGTCAGTTTGAACCGGTGTCGGTCTACTGCCTCTCTTCTTTCTACCCCCCTTTCCACCAGCACTCCCACTTCGGTTCCTTTTCTTCCCGCCATGACCGGTCCTCAATACCAAGGCCCATCAGAATCACGCTTTACCTTTCTCCCTTTCACTTCACCTCGAGCAATATTCCATCCTCCTGCATTTTGTAACGCCCGATGCTCCTCCATATCTATTACAGCCAGTTCCCCTTCATATTTCTCCCTCTCATCCCTCGTCATACTCTGCCAACTCTTTCCCTTGGCCAGTTGCTCAATCATTTTTAATCCTTTCGTTTTCTTTCTGCCATTGACGCCAATCTCTTACGGCCCTTGCTTCATTGTCTTCTCTATAGTATTCAGTGAGGTTAGGTAGGCCAGCCGTAGATTGGGCGGCGGTAATGGTCTTTTGGCGCAAGATTTCGACAGGGATACTTCTGGGTCGAAACGAAGGGGGGATTCTGGGGAGTGCAAAACGGTCTATCGGTGACTGGGGGATAGCGGGAAGAACTTTATCGAGGAGGCTCTTTGGTTTAGGTTTAGGGTTGAACTCGGGAACTGGGTGATATGAATGTTAGCATCATGATTCACAGTCCGATATTAAATTCACCCAAGAAAAACACGGGACGAGACAAAGGTGAATGGAAACTTACCATCTTTTCAAATCCTCCGTGATCCTCCAACTCTGATAAGCCTGTTGATAAGGCGTCTCTCCGAATGGGAAATTAGGTGGTGCGCCCCCAATATGTACCGGCTCTTGCTTTTTCCTCAACGAATCCATCTTCTTCTCTTCATTCGACTTTCTGATTGCCGGTTCCTTGACAGGCTTTACCTGTATTACCGGCCACTAACCTTGATGATCTGCTGACTAGCAGCACTCTGTTCGCATGGTGGCCATCTTCGCATACTGAAATATTGACGCGGTCTATGATATTCTGTAAAAGTGCGACCCGCGACTACAGTGCGTACAGGGTTGATCAATCTATCACGGGCGAATCCCCAAACATTTTCTTTAATGGGGAAACGAGATTCCCAGTTATTATTCAGTTCTTCGATGACTTGAGTTTGAATAACTAGAGCGGAGTATTGCAAACGGGTGGAATAAGGGACAGAGGAGTCGAGAAGTGTTTCGAGATTGAGACCATGGTCGGTGAAAATGTCAGGGGCGACCTTGTAGAGATCAGAGGCGATGCGAATTAGAGTTATATTGTTTGGGTTGGGATTCGCGGGAGGTACGTTGGGTTCCCCAGGATGTAGCTCTTTGCCTTCTAAGCGTTTCATTGTATCTGAGTAACTCTGGTGAACAACTTCGAGGCTGAGTTCTCGCGTGTAGTGCCTTTCATCCATTGTGAGTTCTTCCGTATACAAAGCGATTGCTCTGCCAAATTTGAAAGCCGCCTTTTCGATGAAACTGTAGAGATTAGGCTGGATAATTGGAGGTCCTGTGAATCGAGCCGCATTATATTGAACGCTGAAGGTGTTGGTTGCTTCATCCCAGTGAATTCCATAGCCGGCAAACGCTTCGACGTCGATCGTCAATATACTTCATTTCGGGGTGGACCTGTGAGTGCAACTCTTGCCACACGATCGAGCTCGAAGCCAAGTTCAAGTTCGGGTTGAAGCCCTGTTCGAAACTATACACATTAGCTATTTTGCTATCAATAAAAATGGCATGAAACATACTGTATGTGATGGTATTCATGCATTGTCGTAAGTGCCTTCTCGCTGTAACCCGGTCAAAATGAGGCAAATTCTGTCTAGTCCGGCGATCGTTTATATGCTGGAGAAGTTGTAACATGGGCACAAAATTGGTACTCTTGACACGGGATCATACTTGTTGACTGTACGAATATCTCTCTGGCTCAATGGATAAGTACCTATCGGTGGTTCACTCGGCCCTTCTCTGATACCCCAGTACGGAGGTTTCTCAGGTTCTGGTAGTGCTTCGATATCTCTTTCAAACTCATCGAGAATTTGTCTAGGCACATCTTCGTTGTCATCTGCGACCGGAGGATATGGTAGCCAATGACAGTTCCAAGATGGTTCGGTTAGTTCCCGGAGGACACCGAGTTCTTGCGGCACCAATTTTACCTCCATACCATTTGCTACTTCGTTAAGCGTATCGAATTCTTGATCAGGCTCAAATCTTACACCTCTCTCAATGCGTGCAAGAACTGCTGTCAGAAATGGCCTCGGGTAGGTCTTGACTGCATTTAACAAAGCATCCCAAGTTGGAGTCAAGTTTCCCAAGTATTTGGCAGCAGCGTCTTGGTATTCGAACATCGATGGAATCGTAAAAGGGCCATTGAAATTAGCCGGCGGTGGAACGTAACCCGGGGTAGTCTTAATGATTTTTCACGAGCATCATACCAGTCGTCATCCTTCCACCTCGTGTACTCAACCATGAGTTTGGTGTAGTATTTCGTGTCCAACTCTACGGGTCGCTTGGTCGGTTCAAGTTCCATTGATATTGGAACTTCTGGTAGAGGTTTCTGCCATGGCGAAGGAATTACAACGCGACGGAATAGATCGTCCGGACGCCGTTGCTCATAATTGGAAGCTAAAAAGTTCAAAGCCATTTCAATAGCGGCTCGTTGAATACCCCTTCTTTCTTCGGCCTGGACTGAAAGTTTAACGCGCCCGTGTCATAGCGAGACGCTGTTTGCGGATAGCCTAGGATAAATTGTTGCCAATTTTGTTCTCGATTGCGATGGATGCCAGTATCGAGATCGGGTACAAGAGAAAGAGTATCAACTTTCGTAGGACTAATGGACATCGGTGAAGGTGGTTCAGTGGCGAGATAAAAGACACCAGGAAGATTGTCGGTATCAACATCCGTGTCGACAAAATCTACACTTTGTAATACTTTGATGGTTTTATCCTTCAATTTGGAATTGGCTGCAGCTTTGACCCCGATCACAGTCCGTGTCTCTTCCTCGTCAAGCCTCTTCTTGACGAGGCCCCATTCTTTCTGCAAACCAGCGAGAGCAATGGAGGGCGCATCAGCTTTCAAGCTGTTTATTTCATCCTCAATCTTGTCCAATTCTGCTTCTATCTTTTGCAAAGCCGGAGAACCTAGCAGACTCGCGTAGGTTTTCTTCTTCTTTTGGTCCCATCCTGCACCAGTAACATCACCGTCATCGGGGATATCCTTGTTGAGTTGTGCGTTGAGAGTGTTTAGCGAATCTGAGTCCAATCTTCTATGAGTCTGATATAGAAACAGATGGATCGCGCTGTCTCAATACGGGAGCTTTTACAGCATCAGGTGCATCAACGAGGGTCGCCGGTATGGTTGACGTCAGGAGAGCTTGCTTATCCTCCGGTTTATAACTCCTTATCTCGATTCCAACTCCTTCGAATCCCGCTAGCCAAGGATCTAGAATGTCAGAAAATGCCTTAAGTGCCTTGTCTCGAACCTTTTTGTTATCACTGAGTGTTTGATCATACATTCGACGAAGTCGAGGATAAAAGAACGGCGCTAGATTTGTCGAAGTGCTGCCATCCCAACATGATTTAGTAAACCTCCTTGATCACTCTTTGCTTTTAGAAGTCGATGAATTCTTTCCAATTGCTTTTCCAACTCTGGAGAAAGCTCAGGTTTAGGAGTGGCCCAAGGTACATAGAAGATATATGGTTGCAAAAAGTCTGACGACATCTTATGCCTTATTGGGTCAGTCCTTAAAGCTCCCTTTTGCAATGGTAATAATACAATCCATGGTGCCCCACTTTCTATATCAGCTTCTTCACGTTGAAGTTCTGGTTCGTTCTCGAAAATGGTAGTCCAGAGATCCCGTAATCTCTGGATATAAGGATCAATCATGGCTCTGTCTCCCACACTACGAGAGGCGAGCCAATTTCTCTTGGATGGTAGATCGAATGCTTTATCCCAAAGCAAAGGAACATGTCTCGTCTTGAATCGGGCCCAATGTTTTCCCACTTCCCCAAAGATATCAGGTTCAACGGGTGAAAGTATCTCGGCCATTCTCCCTAGTATCCACCAATTGCAAGATTGCGGGCCATTACTATCACGACATTCTCGCATAAGTTCATGAAGTTCTGATTGCATTGCCTGGACTTCTCGCATTCGTTCGCCATATTCCCGTGTGATGTTAATCTTCGTAGGGTCGTACGTATCTTTCTTGACCATGTCTGGCTCGTCAAAGTACAACTGTATTTGAGGGGTAGTCTTAGCAGAGAGATGTTCCAATAGCTGATCTTGTAAATCATTGTACTTCTTCCAATCATCCTTAACAGCTCTGTATTCTTCATCTGTCATGTCGCCTTTCCTTTGCCCAGTTGAATAAACATTAGCGTTACGCTCAAGCTTTTTTGCCTCTGGCGTTGGAAATAATCGCAAAAAAGCCCTTCAAGGCCGCTACACTCCACTGTTTGGCATGGCGTAGATCTCCACATCCAAGAGAAATGACATTCTCCCTGTACTCATTCAATAGTATCGTACAACTTCCAGGTATCCTTTGACTACAGGTGGGAGAGGGTTGTGCTTTGGCTCACGTTCGGTTTTACCTGGTGGAGTAACCCCCAGAACCTGGCCGCTACCATACCAAGGATCAGCGCTACTTTGGGCCTTTCCAGTATCTGAAATACCGCGAATAGGATCTGTCCAAAGAGGAATTAATGCCGGGTCTTTATTTGCATCAATGTATGCGTGATTCTCAATTTTGAAAAGATTTCGATTCTCTTCCTCTTCCGTAAGATCCGTCAAAGTTTTCTTCGCATCTTCTTTGATAGCCCTGAGAAATACCGCGTGATCCTTAGTACGCTTGACCGTGAAAGGAGGCCGATCTTCACGGATTTGTGTCTGTGTGCCATTGATTTCCTTCGTTTCGCGAATAGCAAGAGTCACCTCATTCGACATGAGTCTCGTGCTGTAAGGCTGGATTTGAGGAGTGTCTACACATAAAGGATCGCCGAGATCTGATTTTTCCATGCGATCATGCCAATCTGCTTGAACATCTGTCATTACTTTTGCATCTTTAAAGAGTTTTTTATCGCATGGGACTCGGTGCTTCTCAATGTGAGCAAGGTAGTCTTGTATCTGTGTGAGCTTATCTTTGAAATCTAAGCATCGGTTCGCATCTTCGTCGGCAAGAAACGTCTTGATTTGTTCAAGGCGTTCATTTGCCGGCGGCTGTTCGTGGCCTCTGAAAGAAGTCCTTGGATCGGGACGTGGTTCACCATGCACTATATCAGTCAAGAACTTCGGAACTTTCAACTCTCTAGGTGGTGTGGCTGGTCGTGATTCATGTTGATCGGATTGATCAGATTCATCTCCATTCTCCTCTCCTGAAGAGAGGTCCTCATGGTCCGTTCTTTTTGAGAATAATTAGATCGTATGGCCTTTCTTGTGATATACAGATCTTTACTTACCCCTCTGGTTGTATCTCCATGAATGCTTGTGGTAATTTCTATTTCCACTTCTTTTTCAAACTTTAATGATACTCAATGCCTGCAGTCTCACAGAGGATAGAAAGCTTGGGAGTAGTGAGGTTGCTATTGAGAATTGGGTCGAAGTCCTGCTTGAAATGTTCTTTGTGTGCAAGCTTTTACTTTCATATAAGTTTTTCTTTCAAGAGAAATAGCTAAGCTACCATTTGCATTCAATCGAGCTTCTCTAAAGAAAATTGTTCCAAGAGAAAAACCTAAACATTCCTCACAATGAAACAATAGAGTAAGCAACATCTCACATCGCGGGGTAAATTCTTGCACATACTTCAATATACGATGACTACCGAGTCTTAGATGGATGGAAGTGATCAAAGATACACCAAAAAAAATGGCATCAATACTGGCTATAGTCAATTGCCACGATCTATGATGCAGAATTGGCAAAGATCTCCGCCTTCTCTGCCCTGTGGATGCTCCTTCTCCATGGAAAGAATTATCCAAGAAACAAAATACTTCCAAATGAATCTGTCCTTTGTCGTGCATCATTTTAGACTGCAAACGGAGCCAGCACAGTTTCTGATTTCTTTGTCAATAATCTCATCTCTGTTCTTTCCGACTCCTGGGAGAAGCCCTCTTTCAACCTTCTTTGCCAGCTTACTTTTCTTTGTTGTAATAAGAATGAGTCTTTGTGAACTTGCGTGTTCTAACCCATTTTGTTTGAGCAACCACTTCAAGCAAATCTGTAGACTGAAAACTTCACAAAAAAATTGAGAAGGCATAGAAAGTTCATGTAATGAAAAAGGATTTACACTCATTTGAGGTCGAGGGAATCAAGGCAGCCGCACAACATTCAAGGCAAGTGCATTAACAAACATTTCGATTCAAACAAGACACAGACATACATTTGAGAATTCATAGCAGGTGGGTCGCTACGAGGCTGTAAATTGTTTTTTTTTTTCATTGCGCATCTTTGACAGCCATCTTTAACATTATCAAAACCTTTCTAGAAGTATATGGGCATGAATTCCTTCGACTTTACATGCCGATCTTCACTCGCAAGCGCAAGTCATCAAGCTGATGATTATCCATGCAAAAGTCACGATATATATCAGGCATACCCTTGGGGTGTCTGTCGTGTATTTCGTACTCAGCCAGCTGAGCTTTCCTGTCAATCCTCCACCGAGAGCGCCTTCCTAGTTGACAGGCCTCAATATTGGACATCGTACCACTGAGTAATTTCCAATATATGCATGAGACCTTTCCGACAATCTGAAAGAGAGAGAAAGAGAGATGCAAAGTTTCCTCGTCGGGAATGAAGATTGTTTGTGCTACTAGAGACTCCTAGGCGGCAGACTGACCATCGATTTCGAAGAGAAAGCATTGTTTGCGATGCACTCATCGGATATGACGGGTATTTCAAACAATGCGAAGATTTCACATCTTCTCTAACCGAAGCAAAGACATTTTCCTCTTGATTTTTCGCCCCTCTGCTTTACCTTGCGCAGGAAATCACGCACAATATCTTACCTATACATTACAACCCAGCCTTCATCCCATCAATGTGTCCCACAGCTCTCGCAAACAACCTCCATAACCCCTGAAGAAGCTGCGCGTACCCGAGATCTACCCCTCTTCTTTCAAACTTCGTGCCCTACAATTCCACTGCTCGATGCCCATTGTACCACGTAATCTTTGCCTGTCCTGTCCTGTCGATCAGAGGAATGGGGAAAAGAGGCTCGATGCATGAAATGAGCTGTCGTGCGCAATTATCACCACCCCCATCACTCTCTACACAGTCTATCCATTCTTCACGATAGAATTAGAAATAAATGCAAGGAAATGAATTGCCCGCCCCAGGAGTGGAGTCGTGATGGAAGTACAGCGTATGTCATACTGATTCCAGATATGCATATTGGGAAATATGCATAATGCACATGACATTTGCATGGACCCCGAAAATCTCAATTTCCTCCTATTTCCCCATTCCCATCCTTTACATCAATCCATCGAAAGAGAATGGGAAGGGATGCCCTGATTAATTGGTGTTTGACAACACATATTAATCGATCAAATCAAATCAATCAATCTGCACGCATTTTGCTTTTTACTATCTCGGTTCCTGCGCATATAAAACATTTATTCTAGAATGAGATCAAAAAGCTTCCATGACCTTCAATTTTGTTTGCACTGCAAGCCCCGAAAGACTAGGATGAAGATCTTCCGGTTCCGAGAGATGGGGTCTTAGATTAATACTGCATAGGCAATAGGTGAAATTTACGTGACTGCATATGATTGATTCTTGAAGCAGAAGTCGCTAGGACGATTCCAGTCAAGAAAGATGTGCAGTGTGTTTGATGGAAATTGAAATGTTTGTGATTCGGATATTTGATACTTATGAGGAACGCGAAATCCGGATGTATCGGTGACTAACCAGCTAATTGTATCAACTTTACCCTGGCGAGCATAGTTTCTGGGCGATAGGACTTTTTATTTCTATTAGCACCGTCTAGGTACATACATGTATACATGATGTACGGTAATTTGCTTTTCGAAACTTTCACAAGGAAGCGCGTAGATTTGGTGATAGTTTCGTATTATTTGGCTTGTTCTCCGTTCTAGAGATACCTAGGTGCTCACCCGTTTTGCTTCTTCACGCGTCAGACTGGGGTTATGCAAGTTTCTCATGGATTTATGCTGCGAGTTGGAACGAAGGTGTGGCAAAGACCAAGAGAATCATTTCGTGATATGAGGTATGGTACTATAGTCAAGGCATGGCATTCAATATCCGTGTGGGTCGTAGGATTTTTGGTGTCAATGAGTTCCTAGCTGGGCCTCCTGAGCAAGGCACTAAGACTCTGTGATAGGATGGGGAATATACAATTTTACACGGCGAGACGGGATAAATATGCTAAAGATGGGATGGGAAATACAGGAGGTACCTAGGAACGTGATACCTGCAAGAAGTGTGGCTGTAATGAATGAATTGGCCAATTAAATAATTGAGTCAGGAATTTGGGTCATCTTCCAGCCACAGCCACCACTTTAGACCTTGGGAAAAGGGGATGACTTCCATCGAATTAATTCTAGACATAATTTTCCGTTTAATGTCGTATTCAACTGAACCTCACTCCACTCGCAGAAGCAAACCACACATCTAAATATACACCTTCCCATTCCAGTACCAACATCTAGCAGCCTCCGGTTCTCATTTCATGGTCATGGTATGATGGTAAGATGGTAACAGTATTTCCCAACCATAATGATCCCTCCTAGCCTTACAACGCCACCCATACGAACCCCCATTCATTCCAGACAAGGAACACACTAGGTTGAGATGAGATACGCCGAGCCGTATTATTGGCATCCTCTTATCCTATCCTACCCTATCCCATACTCTTCCAAAGATTCTCGCTCGGGGTACGACATAAATGCATACACACAGTAATGTAATTCCCAAATACGTACGTACTTACACTACCTAAACATTGCGTATCTACCAACGAAAGAGTCTGAGAACTAGGTAGCGTGTTAGATTCGCGATGAGGCTTTTGGTGATCAGGGTTTCGCGACAGTTTCGTGCTTCCCAACTAGACATATTGAATTAGCATGAAATGCTTGGGTTGATACCATGTAAAGCTGTTTAGAGATATTGTGTTAGGCACTTATTTTCGCGTGTCTGTTCGCAGTCCCGTCTCCCACTATGATATCCTGGCACAGTAACAGAAACGGGATAAGACTTGCATGTACACTTACGATGATCTTAAGACCTGTGTTGAACCTTATTATAAAGACCGTATAAACTCAACAGCTTCATATGGCACTTTCCCTCTTGCGAAATAAGGTTTCGATGTATGCCTGAATCACTCGCTCGGGAATAGGAAAGTTGCGCAGTCGATGGGCCTGGTTTCACACTTGATATCATTATTCACTCAAACCACGAGACTATTGAGCCGTGGGGAAGATGTCTTCAACCCGTGTCAATTGCTTGAGGGATAGGGTATACTTGTCAAAACCTTCAATTTCGTATCATAACGGTACACTTCATGCAAATGAGTTTTGACAGTGGTTCGTTAGAGCCATCCAAAATGGCGCAACGACCTGACAAATCCCGTATTGCAGAAGTCCAAGAGCCGGATGAATTCTGGGGATGACCTCCACTGAGTCCACTCAGGTTTTGCTTTTCCGCCCGGCTTCGTAACTCGTAAGACTTTGTTGATCCTACCAACTCGCCGGTAAATGCCCGCTGCGAAGAAAGAAAAAAAAAACGGAAAAAGAAATTCAGAAAAAGAGCCATGATGATTTCGCAGATCAGTCGTTCATAGTACATAGATCTATCGGCAATCGAGGTCACATTTTCGATTCTTGATCGAGATATCCAAAATACACTTTCAACAGATTTGAAGATTTAGATGCACCGAGGCCTATCGAATTTCCCCTGGAACTTATCCTTATCAATCCAAGTCGACATCACCAGAGATGCATTCACCCCGCAAGATGAGCATGTGCTAACCGAATCCATCCTAAGATGAATCGCGCTCCGCGCCTCGCATTTTCACCACGCCAGAAACCATTCACACAAGATCAAGGCTTCAAAGACAATCCGAAATCCTGCTACACACAAACCTTACAGTCATTTCATCATCATCCAAGCGCGCCAGCCCCAAACCAAGTTTCTCCTGTCCCACGCTGCATGCACTTTGCGTAGCTCAGTGCTCAGCGTACCAAGGTATTAGTAGCCGCATATGCAAGTACTTGCAACATGCATCCTTACGAGAAAAAAAATCACGTCTCCCACTCCCACGCGTTCACGCGTTCGTGTGGAATGTGTTTGGGGACTAATTCAGATTATTGGGTTCGGGTGTCATGGTGTGATATGAGTCTCTAGCTGTGTGGCACCAACTCGGATATGCCTAGTCGGTCTTGCGGTTGCTACATACTATGGGTGAAGGAGGGGTTGTCCAGGAATTCCCTAGTGATGCAGATCAAGTGTGTACTTGACACA